CCTGATTTTTCCTCTTACTTACGTCTTTTTTTTTTTTCAATTTACCCTCCCGCTTATTAACGCGCTCCTTCGCTCCTCGCTATTTCGCATCGCGGATGTGCAAGCGCAACGAACGAAAAGAATCATCCCTCGCGATCTCCGTCTCCCTACCGATAGACTAATCCCTAATTGAACTTACTAAGAAAGAGCTTAACCGTAAAACGCCCGCTCTGACAATGGTTCTCGTCGAAAGAAAATTGTCTGCTTTGCCGGAGACGAGCTGATTGTGACTTGCAACGCAATTCCTGGCCCACGATTGGTTTTCTCCCCTCATATATATCTTTCAGAAGTTTATCAGATTTTTTTCAAAGCGTGCCTCGCCGATCGATCGATATCTCGATGACGCGATCTCGCGCGAGAAATTTTGTTTCTTTCAAGCAGGAGTGGAAAATGCGACGCGCAGATCTGTCATCAGCTGTCGATCGGATCGAAGAAGGACTGTGAGACAAGGGAAAGAAGGAAGGTACGTGCAAGAAAACCAAGGATCCTCCTGGGCACGGAATTTGGAAAGTTTCGAGAGTTGAAAGGCAGAGCTGACAGGTGATCGACTTGGAAGTTTTTTTTGTTTGCGAAAAAAGAGGAGCTAGAGCGATATCGAAGAAATAGTTTATGTACAAACCTGAGATCTTTTTTATAAAATTTTTACATGCAAAAAAGAACGATAAGAAAAATGCTATTCTATCTTTATAAAAACAAACGATTTTTATAAAATTGTCTCATATTAAGCAAGATCGTTGAAAGATAAATTTATCGATCATATCTCCAAAAACTATCCGTTCAATAAATACAATCATTTTGGAAGAGAAACACCGATCTAGATCATTTTCGGATATAAGCAAGTCTTGTGATTAAGACGCGAGTCGGAGACGAATCAACGTATATTTTAGGTCCATCTTTTTTATTTACACTTGTTGGCTTGAAAGCTCGCGAAATTGGAACGCCACTCGTCCGCCAGTCCGGTAAAAGTCTCTCGAAGAAGGAAAAGTCTACGTGGAAATCGGAAAAGTCTCTATTGCAGGGGCTGAAAAAAGGAGATGGGGGACGAATCGGGAGGAAGAGAAGGAAACACGAGAAGAAAAGGGGGGTAGTTCGGTGCATAGGCAGCTTATCACGGCTCGGAGATTCCCTTCGTCAATTGTCGATACAGAGAGTCGAGTGATTGTCATTTAACTATACACATTACTTAGTCTGGAGGCTTAATTAGAAAGGAGCTACTACACGATTCTAACACGCTATTTAACTGGTTTTTTTTTCTTCTTTTTCTTTTCACCCCATTTAAACACACAGAGGACTCTTTCTTTCCTCCCCTTTTACCTCTCACACGAGCAACGTTTCCCGTCGAGCTTAACGACTACTGCTTAGTAATTACTTCTCACTAACTTCTCACTAACTTCTCACTGACTTATATAACGTATAAGTGTGTCTCCCGTGATTCAACCGTCCCTCGTACGCGCGCTAATCGAGAAGAAAGAACAAACGTATCCTACATTCTCGACCACGAGGGTGTCGTCTAATCTTAAGAAGGGGATGGGGGCTCTCTTCTTTTCGCTCTCACTTTTTTATCACCTCGTAAATTAGGCTCCATTGAATTGTACGTTTATCTATTTATAGCGATTCCCATATTATCGAGACTCCCTCTTCATTGTTCACCTTTAACCGTTTGAGTGTCACGGATAAAATGTAGAAATACGCTCGAAAAGTGCCAAGCAACGCGATCGCATTGTTTTCTTATACTTACGATAATAACTTCGCACAATTCTTTCGATTATCTAACATTTAACATTCTAAGTCAGTTTGTGAAAATTAGGCGACGCGACGACCTGGCACTTCTCGACATGGAACAGCGCGATCGTATTTTTTACGTAATAACACTCAAACTGTCAGAGTGAAACTCTACTAATAATTCGGGGCTAAAGGACCAACCCCTCTTCTCCCTCTTTCGCGGAAAATCACAAAGTCGACGGTCGATCATCGAAAGAGCGCTCATCCGTTCGCGAGTCTTGTGAATGACCTCGTTTTCAGGATCTAAACTATCGTGGAATTCTTGTAGAAGCAAGAATAGGCAAGAAAATGATCGAGTTACTCAATCAACAAGTGCACGGTGATCTAAACACTTTCCAGCGATTCTTGATCGCGATTCCCCTCGTATTCGAGAAGAATCGAGATAGTAACAATCGATCATGACGTAATATGATATTAAAACAATAATTATTTTTTTAAGTACCACTCTCTTTTAAATACGATTCAAAAATTAATAGTCTCTTCTAAGTTGAAAAAAATAATTCTATTAGTGTGAAACATGAATCTTAAAATGTTGATATTTCTTTTCGAATTATGTTTTCTGATAATTAATTTTTTGGACAAATTGCTATCCCGATTCATCAATCTTTTGTACGGAATTCTTGATTACAACCTGCTCTCTTACGGTCGATGCTTCCATCGATGCCGAAGTCCTCTGTGATCGTCCGCATTTTGAAGACCTTGTGTGTCTTTTAAATGCTTCTCACCTCTCGCAATAAACTAATATACTTATTTTATCTTCGAGCTGCGTCCCTCCGTATGTCTGTGTATTCGCGCGCGCGTATGTGTGTATGTGTTCAAGGTGTATGTGTGTTTTTTTTCTTACTGTCAGTCACCCAAACGTAACAATCCCGATCGTTTTCTCGATATCGAAGAGAGAAGTCGTTCGCGCAACAACCAACGGCGACTTCCAGAGTCACAACTGATTCGCGTCCTTCTCTCGATGTCTTAACACTAACACGGAAAAAGTCTTTAATAAGAGAACGTCGAAAGCACGGAAGAGATGATGATGAACATCCCTTCGCGTTTCGCGTATTTTTAGATTTGTTCTTTCCTCTCTCGGTGTGTGTGTGTGTGTGTGTGTGTGTGTGTGTGTGTGTGTGTGTGTGTGTGAACGACGCCTAAGGCCCCGATTAGGCAAGCAGATCATATCTCCTGAATTTCAACGATATACCTACGATATAGCACAGATATAGTCATTTAAAACTCGTCATATAACTTGTGCACCTCTGTTCGATCGCGTTGTGTGTGTGTGTATGTGTGTTTTACATGTTCCTAATTAGCCCTGTGTGTGGTCTCTTTTGAATTTTTTTCCCTCCGCTGCGCATTATACAATATATTTATATATAGATTCATCTCATCTCATCTCATCTCATCTCATCTCATCTCATCTCATCTCATCTCATCTCATCTCATCTCATCTCATCTCATCTCTCATCTCTAATTTATGTGATAATTCGTGTGTGTAACACGTTAGTAACTCTATAATATAATAATATATACTTATCCCTTATTAATAAAATATAGATTATCGGGATGCAGCCGCTGCGCATTTTGGACACACCTGTTACAATGCGATATATCAAATATATAGTAGATATAAGTCGTGTATGTGTGTGAGTGTGTGCTGGATGTATATGTACGTGTCACTGCGCCCGTGTAAATGGTGTGTATGTAAGTGTGTGACTCGTGGAGCGTGTCTATATCTGCTTGTGTATGCTCGTGTACATATATAGTTTATGTAGTATACCCTCTGCGTAGGCTAAGCTTCGTCTACTGCGCGTGGCTCTCTACCAGACCCCGAATTTCCTTGGTCAGAGTGCGATATCTCACCGCGTCACCTTTGTGATCCTTCCTCGTCGACTGAAGTCGACCGAACCGAGCGACAGACATGAGGTCTTCTTTTCAACTGATTTGATTGCTCTGATTCAGAGTTTATCTTCTTAGGTCTGTTTTTTAAGCTGAACCAGTGCTCTAGTTCAGCTGAAAAAAAACAGACCTATTTCTTCTCCACATTGAAAGGAAAAAAGATAAACTCTGAGCAAGTGCAGCCAGTTCAGCTGAAGAGAACAGACCTACGATGATACGCAGGATTCGATGAGAGGGAGGGAAACTACTACACATCTAGATATAGTTGCGTCTGAATCCTCTCATAGAACTCACGATGTTCAAATGATCTTCGCTCAATGGAGATGGAGGTTGTCTGTTCATCAATCTTTTTCGTTAACGAAAATTTCGTCGCACTCCCGTCGATTCGCGCGGGCACCAATCGGAAAATCTATCAGCTCTTATGAATCCTGGATTCATGTTAATCGTTCTCCTCGCGCGACGAAGTCTGCGAAAATTTCGGAGTCTGAATAATCTACGACACCATGTAGCGAGTGCTGGCTACTCCAACCCTCACCTCGGCCCCCCTCAACCTAGCTAGTGATATAGTCGATCTATCAGTCTACAGGGTGCCACATCTTCTTGCACTTCTCTTCCCTTCCTTTTGCGCCTGGATCACGCGAGGACCGTCCGAGCCGAAAGAAGACCGTGTTTCGTATTTTGACGAGTAAATAGACCGAACAGTTGTGCGATTTCTAACGTCGGGCACCCTGTAGAGATCTACAGCTCCGTATATAGCTGCCCCGTTTCCGGTAATTCTACTCTAATAATGAGTCCCTTACGGAAGGAACGTTTGCGAAACTTTGGCAATAACGGGAGGAATCTCGCGCCGCGATTCCCCCCTCTTACGAGCAAAAGAGCTGATTGTCACCATTAGCGTGGTGGTTCTTTTTTAATCGCAAAAGAAAGAAATGTGTTTTGGATTTTACGTCGACTTGAGATAAAAGATTCCGAGGAAAAAAAAAGGGAAACGCTGAATGCGTACACATTGCTGGTTACCGTGTGCGTGTGTAATCATGTGAATCCGTGTTGGTGGACGTGGGGTCCACAGGAATGTAAATGCTAAGAAATCAATTGACCGGGCAAAGTGACGAAATGTGTAATCGACAACCTGGCGCGAGTGTTGGGTGCTCGACGTTGCGACTCGCGGAAAGGATAATACAAGAGCTCGAGGTCGAAAGCTAAACACTCTGTTCGAGCGTTGTTCAGGTACGGTTTAGACGATATCGTGCCGAAAGTACGATTTCTTTTTTCTTTTTTTTTCTTACGAAAGTTCTCGCACGGTTTCTTCTTTTCTCCCTCCTTTGCTTTCCTCCCTTGTGGCATTGCTACGTTTTTTTTGTCTCGCGATAGGAATCGAGAAGACACGAACGTTAGCGCTATACGAACATAAGTCGCTTACAAAAAATATATATATATATATATGCACGCAAAATGATTCGAATAAAGTAGATAAAATAAAATCCAATTACTGTATAAAGTCGAATAAAATTCTCCGAATGTCCTTAGAGCGATGCACAGCGAAATATATAAACGAGGTATTTAAAACGTAAAAGATCTAGCCTATTCCGGCGAAGTAGAAAAACTATATCCGCTGGAATCTGTGTGTGCGCATGTATAGATGATATCGTGTAAGATCGTGTACATGTATGTATGTCTTATTATTTGAGGTATACGTGTGTAGGTTCTCGCGTGAATGCCCCTCGTGCGATAAGTGTACTCGGAACGTGCGTCCGCGGTTAAGAATGTATAAATGCAGTCCAAGTAAATATAGCGTAGTATCAGAGGTCCGAAAAAGAGATACAGATCATAGATGCAAAGACTGGCCCCTTCGCTCATGCCGGCTACTCGCTACGTCTCTAAACAACTAGCACTGATTGGTCGGTACTTCTCGATCGGCGAGACGCCGACCCCGGGAAATACTTTTGTTGTCTTATACATCAGCGTATACCAGGAAGAGGGAGGGGGAGGGGAGGGGAGGGGGGAGAGAAGAAAAAACCCGGAAGTCGGCGCTCGCGACAATCGAACAAGGATGTCCCGTTCGTACACCCGGCTCACCAAGAGATCCCCGTTCTAGAGATTAAAACGGCTAAGCCTACTTTGGCACACAAACAGTACACTATGCCCGGGCCGGCATTCGCTTTGTTTTCATATAGTTTCGTCACTTTCCTACCATGTACGGGTTCGTTTGCGCGTTTCGGCTTGGAAACCCCTTTTTTTTAGCCGTCAAAGTCGTGCGATGCTACTCTCCCACGCGAATACACCCCTTTCTCACCATCACCCTCTCTTTCACACTCTTTCGCTCTCGTCCTTTCTCTTTCATTCAGTTACACCTGCGCACAACAATCCCCTTCCAACACGCGCTCTTTTGCTTTCCTCTTTCTCTACTTCCCTCTATATATTCAGTTATCAGTTATATCAGTAAAATTTAATTAATTGACTCCAACAGAACGTCGATTAGACTGAAATTCGCGGGCTTCGCCGGGATGCGCGCGCGGTCCCTTTAATGAACGATTTCGCACGACTTCTCGACACGACTTCGAGGACACTTTTTAAGCTCCTCGACGAGTTCCCTGTCCCGATCGATTTTTACGGCTTTGCACGCCTCTCTACAAAGTTCCCGCAAATACGTTTCTACGAGTCTAATTTGTTACTCTTTTTTGTTTTCCTTTCGCATTATCTATGTGTGTGTATGCATCTATATCGTGACCCGTCGTACAAGAAGCCAACGGTGCAAACGTATTCGCGTAGTCGGAAAATGACTTGCCTTCTCGAATATTATTCCTCGCGTTAAATTCCACACATAGTTAAAAATTTCTTGAAGATACTCGCTTGTTCTCACGGCGTACATCCTCTCACAACCGATTTATTCAAGGAATGCATCGATATCAGGAACTCTCAGTAGGATCGAGATTCGTCGCGAGATAGACTTATCCTTGACACAAAGAGAGAGAGAGAAAACACTCGCTCTCCCTTCGCGCGGATGTCGTCCATCGTCGCGAATCATCCTCGAGGCGTCCCGAGCCGTACCCGCCGATCTGCTATAAATGGTACAAACTCTCCGCGCGCGCTCCGCACGTTGCAAACCTTTTAATTAACGATATGTTCAACGGTTCACTCCTTCCTCTCCTAGTCAATTACTTATCTAGTCGCTTACTATACGATTAAGATCCTAACACATGCCTAAGCATCTACTGTAACTAAGAAATCTGCGCATATTCGCTATTTATACGCTGTGTATCTGTGTTTGTGGGTATAAATTAGGGGGCGATCGATAACATTTATTTCGCGCGCCGCGCCTGCATGATTATGTATGTATATATGTGTATGTTGTATATATGTCTAATTGTATGGTCTCGTAAAGAGACAGATGCAATGTGTGAGTGTATGTATGTGTGTAAATGCGTGCGCGCGTGCGATGTAATACTTATTTTGAAACTGAAATGTACAAATTATAAAAATGCCACCTGCGACGGTCGCGTCCAGGTGGGCTCCAGAGCGGAGGACTCGACGAGCGATCGGACTCCCCTCGATCTCTTCTAAGAAGCGTTCGACTTCGCCGGATAGTCGAGAATACTGGAGATATCTTCGAGAGCGAGAGATTCGTCCTCGAAGAAGCATAAAACGTAAGTAGATCGAAGTGGGCCGGTGATGCGTTCGGAGTCCTCCGAATAGAGAGTAGCTCTCGGCACGCATAGACTTTAAACGATTACTTTGTCTTTACGAACGAATCGACCAATCATGTTGAATAAATGTCATCACTGTGATGAGAACAAATCCGGAAGAATTTTGAAAGCGAACCAATTTGGCGCTTCAAGCTATCCTCTCTCTTTCTCTCTCTCCCCGGATTTGTCCGTCTCTTGTCCACATTGCTTCATAATCTCGTGAAGTCGATGAGGACGATCGGTTTGTTGGCGAAGTAGTAGAGTACCTCGTGAAAGCATGCAAAGGGTCCCGACATGACATTGGCCGTTTTTTTTAACTTATATCGAAATACGTCATTTCCGTCGTACTCGATACTGCTCGCAGCATCATCGATCATATTGTCTCGCTCTCGAACGGAACGGAAGCCACGAGGAAGTACGCTCGGTCGCGCGGTTCGTTTGGTCGTCAGAAGAATGTCAAGAAGATTGTCTCGCGGGGAAACGCTACTTGGCTTGCCGGCCACTGCGTCGCACGCGCGATCGCACGACACACCTTCGCTCTTTATTATTTTTCTTTCGTTTCTCTCTCTTTCTCGTGTCCGCTCGTCGAACGAATAACGTCGACGACCGGGAGACTCGTCTCCGAAGATCCTGCGATATATACGGAAGCCATCGCGCGAACGCGTGCGCGCGCGCCCGCTTGTCGCGAGACGGTCGCTCTTTTTTTTGTGTCCACGCAACTTTGAAAAATCCTTAACGATAATTAGAGTAGCGGTCCGGGCCGCGCAATTGTGAATTTTACATGTACAATAATATATATCTTATCTTCCCTAGTGTACACTCTGTTTAATAAGAGTCGAGGAATTGTGTTCGTCAAACTATACTGCTTCCTCGCTCCCGTTTAATCCTAATCTCTCTTTTCTCTCTTATGTGTGCTTTCTCTACGTATGCTCGGCTGCCAGGCTCTTCGTCTCAGTTGCCTCTCTCTTTCTTTTTTTTTTTTTGTATTATCCTCTTCACACACAACGGTCCTGGCTTTCACGAGAGAAAGAGAGAGAGAGAGAGAATGATAGATCGATCGATTGCGACCTCTCTCTCTCTCTCTCTTTCTCCTTATCTTACACTCCACCGCGTTTCTCTCGTCATTAAAAATCTCTCATCTGTTTCTAAAGTTATGAAATCGTCGCGTTAACGCGTTCGAAAGCCAGCACCGGAAACTACCTTCGAGAAGGCCGTCGCGAATTCGTCTCTTCGTTATTTAGCTTCATCGCTTGCAGCTCTGGTATATCACGAAACACCCTAGCAACCCTCGTATCGACAGAATCAACCGGATGCGGAAACACGTTTGTGCCATAAAGACGTCCCAACAACAGGGAATTGGGCCTCGGGAGCGTCCTAAGCTCGCTCGGACGAGGCAGCGCCTGTCCGTATGTGCTGCTCCGGAGTCCAAATGGCCGGTGCAGTCCCATGTGGGTCTCGCGTGCGATACAGCCGGCCGATAACAGCGTCGCAGGAACGGATGAGCACCGGATCCAACTGCGGGAACATCAGTCGTAGACCGATGCGGGTGACCAAAGGGGGACTAGGGCGTAGGGCTGGTACCACTGCTGCTCGTGCGGTGGCGATTCTTGTTAGATGTTGCTCTTGGAGAATGACACTCTGAGGTGATTGGACTCGCTGAGCTGGTAGTTGTGCATTTTCTGCGAAAAAGAAACGAAGAGGTCGATTTTAAATCAATTCTGAATTTTACGTTTCTAGGTTTTTCATTGCGAATTTATTAGACTCTACTTGGGTTCAATTTTTTCTCTACTCTTGAAAGGTATCTGCGACAAAGAAAGAGACAATGTACGTCTTCCTTTTTGCAACGGACTCGTAAGAAATTTTATTTCCCTTCACGGAAAATTAGGATTATCGTCCCCTTGCGGGACTAACGAGTTAATTGCGAAAACCACTCACGATCAGCGCAGCCACGGCATCGTCCATGTTAGGCATCTGTATGAGAGCCATCTTCCTGTCCTTTGGGAAGAACTTGAAGGCTTTCACGGTAAAGCCGTTCTTGGTAAAAGCTTCCTTGATCTCTTCCTCAGCTACCGTAGCCCTGAATGGGGTAAATTGAATACCGTTAAGAACATGTAGGCGGCTATCGAAGACGGATCTTATTTTATCGTTGCCGGAAAGATTACTTACGGAATGTTTGATAAATGCAGGGTTGCGCTCGGCGGATAAATGTTCTGATAATTTTTCGAGCCGGGTTTCTTGAATCGATGTAGAGTGCTGTTGGTATAGTCTTTCGTGAGGCCCGCGTCTGGCTGACCTTCTTTTGGCAATTGGACCGTTTGGTGTTTACTGAGCATCACTTTAATTTGCTTCCCAAACACTCTTAACTTGTCCATATGGGTCAGCGCTGTCGTGCAAATTAAACACACAAACAATGTTAATTAATCGCGCTAATGTATTTACGCGTATTATAATATAATTATAATTACGGCGCATATATCGTAAACAACACAAAACTCTCTACATCTTCCAATTTTCAACAGCGAAAACAATATCCTTCACATTTCGAGCCTTGTGAAATTAACTTATCTCGGGATAGATTTATTAACGTTAACGAATTGTTTACAGTTTACACAGTAATGAAACGTAATTTAAAATTAAACGCGGATGTATTTTGTGAAATGTACACTCACCTAAAAGCGCCTGATGAGGTTCGGCCATTTGTATTAGTGCCGAGTCCTTCTTGTTGTAGAGGATCTTCACACGCTGTACATCCCCGTAAACGCCTACATGCACAATATACGCAAATTTCTCTTTAGTAAGCTCGAGCGGTCGCGAGTTATCGTGTATTCTTTTATAGAGGCTGCGCGCGTTTAAGGATTATCGAAGATGAACGGGACGATATTCAGTCGATCGAGATCGGGGTACGATCGGATCTATATAAGATTCGGGACATGCAAGAGGCGAGCGATTCGGCTCTTTCATTTTTACAGAATGTCAAATATAGAAAGCTTCTTCAGTTAGCACACAAAGCAATTTTATTATTGACATTTCTACCTTTATGTTTTAAAATACGTTAAGTTAATCTTCTTTTTCGTGACATGTTTTTCTTTCTTTTTAAATAATGATGGAAGAAAGAGAGATATTAGAAAAGCGATAGAGAGACTATTGTTGCGCGAATAATTAAATTTCAAAATTTTAATATCTTTACAATAAAATAAATGTTTATTAAAATAAAATGCATTATATAGAAATTAACGAAATAACAATGGTCCTTTTTTTTTACATAGTTTAATTCATTTAAATTTGTACGTTTCTCTCGATATTACGTAACTGCGTAGTTAAGCGGGTGAAGTTTTCGCTAGCGCGAAAAGCCGCAAAAAAGAGTACATGTACGAAAAAGAGAGAGAGAAAGGCGGATAGAAATTTTAATAAATTTTTAAAACGCGTTTTACGACATAGTACGTGACTTTTGTACGTTTGTCTGTAATTATCCGGGAAAATCTGCATAACAATCGTAGCTCACAGAAGAAAAACACAACGTCAGCCGAGTCGCACGCCTCGTTAATAGTGAGTTCCTATGGAATTACGTAAAATAAGCGAAAGCTTACGTAATATTAAGGTTGTGTGGAACTGATATTAATAAAAATATTAATGAAATAATTTAGAAGAGAGATGCTTGGAAGAGTAGAGAATGTGGGAGAACGTGTGTGTTCGTTGTTGACCGATAGTATTATATGTATGACGCTGTTATTATTATATGACAATGACGTATGTATATGACGATGTGATCATGAAATTGCAAATGGAATAGCTTGTAGTAATAAAATAAGTTGAAATCACGAAATATCGGAAGAATACGGATTAAACGTTAAATCAGAGAATATATGTTATGGCGGATGTTTCACGAGAGTAAACATGATTTTTCAGAGGAAGAATGACGATGCTCTCGAGTTTTAGTAAGTTGAAAAAATTACTAAAATTAAAAATAAAAAAAAAGAAAAAGGAAAAGAAAAGAGAGAAAGAGAAAGAGAAAAATAAATAGAATCAAATAAAAAAATCGAATAAAAAAAAACGCGAAAAAGAAGGAAGAAATCTTTCCTTTACGGTATGACGTAAACTTCGAATGTGAGACAATCGTGTGTGAGAAAGATTCTACGTTCGTGTGTTTGTTCGTGTGTGAGCGGTGTTATTGCTCAGATCGCGAACAATATTCACCGAGATTGAGCAGAAATACTTCAAATTTTCCTCCGGACAATACATAGTCTTTTCGCCTATACACGTCCTCCGTTTCTTTTTCTCCTTTTTTTTTTCTCTTAATCGCGCGTATATCACGTGTAGTCGACCGAGTTGTGTCTCGTGTTGTCCGCATTCGTGTGTGCGTGAGAAGAGCGCGAGAGGGTGTAAATATAATAATTAATAATGTAATATAATTAATAATATAAATGTGGAGACGTACCAAACAGGGTAAAGAGAGCGTCAGGCGTGACCATCTACACAGAGAACAGACAGAGTCCAGTCAGTAGTCAGCGAGTATAATAGGATTCAAATGTATAGTGTTGGCGAAGCGCACAAGATTCGCTATTTTTTCTCTTCGCGAAAAAAAAAAGAAATGATCAAAAATGATTCTTTGTAAGTAAAATAAAGCAAAGACCACTTCTACTTTAATATTGTACATTATTCACGATGGAGAGTCGGATAGAGATAAGTAGCTCCTTCGCGAAGATGATCGGATCAGATTGTACGAAGCTTGTGCGCGACGCAACGATAGTAGTACACACAGTTATAGTACAGTAGTGACAAGTTGCAGCTGCGAAGTGTGACGCCGACACACAGTTTCTTGCCGAGGCGACATTCATCATCCCGTTGATGTTTCTTACCCGATAATGTTCCTTGTTTTTGTCTCCGAGCGCCACGTCTAAGTTTGTATATCGATTGCAAGAGCACAAGTATAAACGTCTCCGAGAGACACAAGGAATTATTTGAATAAAAAAAATATAGGTAATTGGAACATATGATCCCTAATACGAGATACGTCAATCGATCGAAACGTGAGAGATGAACATCGCCTCGCAGGAAGTAACGTCGTAGCTCGACGACGCTACGAATTAATTAGGGCGCAGGATGGTGACGTTGGAGTGATTTGTATGTGTGTTTCGAAAAATGAGCGGGGCAAGTAGGGGCAGAATCGAAAGTCTCGTGACGAAACAGGGCACATACGTGTTGCGGCTCGATCTTTCCATCCACCTAAGCAGGACGATCTCCAAAAATTAGATTAAATAAAAAAATCAAGCATTCCTTAATATTCTGTCAAACATTACATTCCAATATTGCGAACAAAATAAATTCGTAATGGATTTTCTTCCGAGTTGCATTTTTTTCACATAGAAAATTTGAACATTGCAGAATTTAGGGCTGCAGCCTCACGAATCTCGACTGAACCTCAAGTTTTTCAGAGACCGGTCGTGATTCGGCTCGGTGGAAAGATCGAGCCAAAGGATCGAGAGACTGCGGGTTTCGCCTACGTAGCACTACGTTGTAACTCGCTCGTTAGACTGTGTAATTATACCTGTATATGCACGTGCGTATATATACTATATATAGATATATATATCTAGTGGGGTTGATTTGGTTGGTTGGTTGGTCGGTCGCGCGTGTCGCAGCGACACTGAGAGAAATAGCGCTGCGGTCTCTTATGAGGGTTGGTCGTACGACGACAGAGTACAAGAGCCCGAGACGGGATGAGAGAAGAGAATAGAGAGGGAGAAGTGAGAAGACAGGTACAGAGAGATGTGAAGAAGAGGCAATCGCGCGTATATGTATGTCGCATATATAGATATACATGTGTGTGTGTATGTTTTGCACCGGGCAGAACTCGGTTATGTTTCTCGCGGTGAAGATACGTCGGAATCAGAGAGACTTTCGCAAACACACAGACACACATTACATTACACGACGGATGCCGTATACCTACTACAAGATGTATTATTCGCGTACGACATACTTATTCGCACGTGGCGATATGGTGGTGGGTCTCTATTTCTCTCAGTGCTTGCTCGAACACTTCCGCCGCATTTCGTCGTGAGCGAGTACATTTAACGTTTCGTCTCGCTAAATGCTCACATCGTGCTTACAAGTCCGTACACACAACGTCTCTATATTCATTTGGCTCTATCTGGCATTTACATCTAGTTCAACCGTCTTGTATAATTAAGAACGATCAGCCAAGTCGAGAGAAATGCGGTATCTCGCGGCCTTAATAATATTTTAATATTACTTTACACAAAAGCGTTTTATGCGGATCAGATCGAATCGCATTTCATCGGTGTACATTAATCAGAAAAGTTGAAAGAAACTTCTCGAACCAAAACGAACAATTTAGTGGAAACGAAATCTCCTGGATTATCTTGCACACAATTGATGGAAAAAATACATAAAGAAAATATTCATGGTGCTTCCAACGTTCAGCAAAAAGTTCTCGGTGAAAGTATCGCGAGCAAATCAAGGTTAAAAAAAAAAAGCGTCGCAGGTTCACCTTTTCCTTGTCAAAGGTATCTTCGTGCGGTCTCTCTCGTCAAGAGAAGGAACGGAATAAAGGGAACAGAGTCTGAATTTCTGGTTACTTACCTCCTCGTTGAGATTGCTGACCAGCAACACGGCTGATGCCTGGGCGCTTCCCTGCACTCGCACCCCCAGACCAGCGGCGCCGAGAGGGAATCCCCGAGGCCGGCGAGGCTTCCCGCCGGGGGCACGCCATTGTAAGGGCCCGCCAAGGGCGACGGAAGGCCGTGCATGGCCGCGAAGGGCGTGGGCAGCACACCCGGTGCCCCTGCAATGGACTCTACTTCAGGAAGTTCAGATGACGTTATTATCACTGTTGAAACATTGCGACAGGAAAAAATAAGCTATAATTATAACACACGAATTTGAAATCATGCAGCGAGAATCAGTAGGGGATTGAAAATAGAGAGAGAGATGAGAGGGTTCCCCGATTTCTTTCTCTTTCCCTCGGCCGAATCTTTCCGCGCGGTCGATCTTCTTGACGCTTCCAGATTAATTATGCGGCTGACCGTCGCGGGTCTCCTCCTAATCCCCGACCATCAACGAACTGTTTGCGCAACGAGATAGGACGCGTAAAGTGGATTACAGTACGTTACAGATTAAACACCAACAACGACGCCGTGAAATTAATTTAACCCAAACAAGCGGCCCCGAACACACCAGGGTGTATAATTTAAACTAGCGTTGTCTAGCGGCGAACGCAAAAATCCCGACGATTCGGCCAAGCCGGATCGCTCGTCGCGGGTACTCTTGTAATTAATTAATTTCAGTCGAGGAGATAATTGCGACTGACCGACCGGCGAACAGGACCGAGTTTTAAAAGCCGGCAAATTACTCCCACCATTGACAATGATGAGGACAATGATACTAATAAAACAAACATTATGACTATGATGATAATTTAGCGCGATGTCAAACTGACGGAAAATCTTCAAATAAAATGTAACATCGCGCGATCGTTTAATTGTATACCCGTTCATCGGAACTTTAGACGCTAAATGCGCAAAAAAGGACATTCGAAATTCGTACACAATTGTAGATTCAACGGGGCAATGAATTTTGAAAACGCCTATCGCAAAGCATCCATATATTCAACTATTACCGAGCAGCATTGTATAGGGCTGCGAGCATTCATTGTTTACATGTCACATACGGTCCATTCAGAATCGCTTTCGTTGAATTTCGCAGAGTCTGACTAGCGTTTAATGACGATGAATTTTGCAACGAGCGTCTATCGCGAATTCCACTATATATTCAACTACATATACATATACATATATACGTATTATTATATGGAATCGCGCAAGATTAACGTGTTCATTGTTCACGCGCCACGCGTGTATGACTACTTAATATACACGCACACATATTCGTACGTTTGCAAATAATGCGATTTATTCGAGGGGTCGAATGCGATCCGAATCGGGGGGAGAGAAAAGAGAGGGATATTTTAGATACGAGCGTTTTATACACGAAAATACTCACCGGGTATTCTGGCACGCGGCTGGGAACCGGCGCCCATCAGCAACTGGGGCAACAATTCGCCGCCGAGAGCGAGAGACGCCGCATCCAGGTTGGCGTCGCCGGTCGGCAGATTCGGGTTGGTGTAGTCCCGGGACTTGTCGTTGTTGTACTTGACGTTGAGGTTCTGCATCTTGCTGTAGTCGATGCGCAGCGTGCAGCAGGAATTGTAGACGTTCTGTCCGTCGAGCGACTGCGCAAGAAATCGTACAAGATTCTTCGTTATTTACGTTATTCCATGAGACACCAACTTTACGGCTTTTGTGCTCAAGCTTAGAACACACCCATAGTGACTCACACATCTCTCTTTATATATATATATCGTGATTCGTCGCTTCTCGCGATTCCTCTCTATCTACTTTGCTATGCGTTTCGCGAGATTTTTCCACGAGAAAAACTGATCAAACATTTGTCAAGAACTGTATCTTATTATCACAGCACAATTATTTAATCGAATTTAACAAGAAAGATCGGACAATCTTCATAGATCCCAAAAGCCAGAGGAGAAGTTAACCGAAGCCGTGAGAGAAGCGAAAAGTTTGGAAAAGTCTTTGATCGGAAGAAGCTTACACAAACTCCGCTGAAACTCGAAGAAGAAGAAACCCAGAAAATCAGGATTTTGGGTTATATATACGGGAATTTTCAGAGATCCATCGGATCCTCCTTTCTGCGACACACTTCTGGGACACATGCATACATACATATTATGAAATTTGCGTTGCAGGTCGCTCGCCAATGTCGCCAATGTTTAACAGGGACCCGGGGTGGTTTCGAGTAGCCTGTTTGAGTAGCGCGTGGTCGATGTTGCATTGTGCGCGACAATGGCGCACATACGTATGCACACATATGTATGTATGTAAACGTGCGTGCGAGAGTGCGTGCTGTGTACCCGGCCACGGTCCCGCTCTATATTTACACGAGCTAATGAATTTCGTACATAATTACCGGGTCGGCCCGCGCCGCGAGCCTCAGGCGTGCGCGCATGGCGGCCTCTCTTTGTCGCTCTTTTGCCCGTTCCCTCTTGCTACTTCCTGCTCCTCGGGCGGTTTATTCATGGTCGAGAGAGTGCGTCGGTTAGGTTAACATAATCGACGAGCGAAACGAATCGATTTTGCCGGCGACACTTCTTTCGGAAAGACGATCTCGGTAGTCTGATATCATTTGGAGAACGTCAGAGGACTGTTCCCAGTTTTATAGCAAGAAATTGGGTTCCCATATCAGACATGACTAGAATTGTGGAGCATCGATGGTAGATTAAAACATTCCATGAGCAGGATTTTAATCCGATTAAGTTCCTGGACGTGATCTATGTCCTCATATGTCAGAGAAATTTGGATTTTGTTTTTGTGATGCCTCTAGAAAGGGAAATGAGACTTCAATCAGGCAATTAAAACCTTCTGTTTGGTACTTCGTAAATACCCCTATCGATTAATATATGACTCATGTTCACTAGAGGGTCCAAACTGGGCACAGTCCTTTATGTATAAAACTCCGTATCGGTATCTCTCTCGTTCGAGTCGAACGGATCGTTTGTGCGTTTGCGTTGAGGAAAATTCGGAAAAAGGAGGATAGAGAGAAAGAGAGAATCGGAGAAGAGCGATATATCCGCAACAAAGCTAAATTAATTTTCTGTCTTGCACAACCACCGCGGGTGGGGTGGTATGGTGGTGGTTCGCGGCGAAACCGGTGTATTTCAAGCGAATTAATTTTCCCTTTGATCAGCGCGCGGGTTTACTAGTTTGCGGCGTCGAGCTTACCGTCGAGCGGAGGATTTAGAGAGAGGAAGGGATTTTCCGAACGCACGCGGGGGATGAATTCGAACGCGGAAGTTCCCGGCGAGTTCTCCCGCGTCCGTTCGCGACGGCTTCTGTTCGGTTGTTGACGATGTAAAACAATGCGGCGCGAACTGCCGACGCAGTTAATTCCGGATGTAACGAGGCGAGCGTCCAGTTTTAACCCCCTCTCTGCGTTTTACGTGTTTTCCGGTTTTCTGGGATCTTCTTCGGCTTCTTTTTCACGACTCTCGAAAGAATTTCGAAACGGCAAAGAGAGTGAAAAAAATTTTTTAAAAGATATTCTATATTCGTCTGCTTCTTTAAAGCTATAGATTCTCAGTTTCGCTGCGTGTGTAATTTTTCAATAATATACACTCCAAATGACAGCGATCAAGTAGAATTAGTACAAACATTCGGTATGTACACGGCAGCGAAATAGCTGCATCACACTCACTTGCACAAAGATTATCGAGTCATCTCAAACATACATAAGACACAGTGAAATTTGCTAGAAAAAAGCCGAGTAAAAATCACGATAAATATGTACAATCTGGGAAAATGTAATTATCAAATCAACATAAATAGAAAGTTAATTATAGTCAAGAGAGAGAAAGAGTCTGAGAGAGTTAACTTGAATTTTTTTTGATAGAATATTCATGGAGAACATCCTTTATTCTTTCTTTAAACAAAAATTGATTAGTATTCGAGTGTACTAGAGCAGCTTATGATACAACGTGCGTTTAGGAAATAAACAGGCTTTACATGGGGAATTAGTTGCGCCATCCAATGATAGAGAGAAGTTTAAGAATAAAAACTACACGCGCGCATTTTTCATTTTTTTTAAAGCAGTGCTTTAATGCTGCTGAAAATATCTCAACTTTCTTAAAGAGAGAAGAGTGGGATAGTATAGTTTCGTACCAGGACACGTGATACTTTTTAGCTCATGATTACAGGGATAAAAACGATATTACAAGGGATACGCAGGTAAAACAAAAATTTACGCCAGAGACACAATTCGTGATACCTTAAGCAGCGGCAAGTTTAATGCTACGGCTTTCTCAACCTCCTTAAAAAAAAGAAAAATAGAAGTGGTTATCGTCAGGAGATGTGGCGCTTGAAAAATCTCGCACAGGTTAAATTAAACGATTACGGGTAAGAATTACAGGTAAAGCAGTAAATCAAATAATATTGATGACAGAGAGAACAAGAGGGACGGAGGGAAAAGGAGAATGAGAGAAAGAGAATCAACATTTAATGCCGACGAATATAAAGTCTACATTATCGGTATTGATGAATCGCGAAGGTATAGATCGATCGCGCATCTGCGGTCCGCGCGCTTCAAGAATTAATTTGGCTTGCAAAGCAGGCCGACATTTCCATAAATCCGGAGAAAAAAAAAAAAAATATATATATATATATATAAAGCGGGATCCGCGCGAGATATCTTGCCTCGACGTCGGAATTTTTTCTTCCGTCATCAATCTTTCGATTACGCATTCATCGAGCTCACTTCCTGTAATTAAGCGCCGCATCGCGGTTTTCTTCGCCGGAGGAGATGCGGAAAATATTTTTCCGGCGCGAGATACTCTACGGAAAATTTCGATCTGTCTCACGGGAACGCGAGACAGATCGATAATAGTGGAAGAAGGTAACTTGAAAAAAAAAATTAAACAAAAATGAAAGAAAGAGGAAGAACCCATATAGGATTGCCAGTCTTTGCAATAGCGTCAATGCTTGGCCCGATATGTGGTAACTAATGTTTGGCCAATACTTGGTAATTTATTCTGGGCCATGCTTGGTTGCGATATAATTAATTATCTTTTTTTTTTAATAACCTAATCTAACTTGACAGTATTTCTTCGTCGTGATTATACTCGCATTGCGTCGGCTTGTTGTAATCGTTTTATTATTAATAAATATGTCGCAAAATTATTATAGGCAAAAAAAGTATCGAAAATTAAAAAAGTTAAAAATTAATAATGCGTGTTATAATGTTAAATGTGACAATGCTAAGAAAGATAGCATAAAAAATAAAAATGAAATAGTGAATATTGGCATATTTCTTTAAATATCTGTATATCAATTTTTATAATTTATGCAATTTATGAATAATATTCTAATATTTTTTACAGATGTCTTAGTAGAAAAGTTTGAGAACAATGAAGATTTAAAAAAAAAAACTGTCAGGTCAGGTTGGATTATGGTTATCACGAGCTGGTGATCTTGAAAGAGGTCGAAAAGAACGAACCAAAAATAATTAAAAGTAAGAAAAGAGACTCAAGAAAGTATTAAGAAAGTAATTTTCGTAATTTTTTTAGAAAGAAAAAGATAAAGTTTTTTAAAATAGGGGGACGCAACCGGAGGGGAAGAAATAAAATAGGGAGACCAACGCGGAAGGGGCGCAAAGAGTCAAGTGGATACTTACGAATTTAGCAGTCTGCGCCGACAGCATGTCTGCGTATTGTATTAGTGCCTGGAACGAACCTGGAACACACAAAGACGATAAAAACCGTGAGACAATGTCGTCCATTATACAACTTTACGCGTTCCGCAAGTCGCGCAGCCACGATAGCGCCAATAAATTTATCGAAAATCAAACGTTTGACAGTCATTGGGTACGAGCGTCAAAATAGATTATTAATATATAACAGCTTATATGTATATATTAAATATTTTGAGAAAAATAAAATGTTATGTTTTCCTTTTCTAACGGCATATCGCACGATTTCGTAATTTGTGTTATATACAAATAATGGACACGTTCGCTCATTTAATAATGCATTTGCTTCAAACAATAGAGTTGATTATTTTCGCAAAACCGTTGTACCGTAGCTAGTTGGAAGAGCGGCAAAATGGCTTTAAAAATGTATTTTATATAACATAAAAAAATAAAAAATTCCGTAAATTATATATTGAAAAATACGTAAGAGAGCAAATGGAATACCGTCGAAAATACAGCTCTAGATGGCAGGCAAAAAGTATAAAAGGCTCCGGAAAATTTGATATTCCAGAATGAAAAAACATGATATAAATACATAGGTATATATATATACATGTATATTTTTTGCGTTAAATCGCACGTGTATTTGAAAATATCCGTGAGCAGAGGGCCCGGGTATATAAAAAGCGGTGATTCGTTAATTTAGTGCGCGAGTGTTGAGAGAAACTAACTCTGTCACGATAATACGTTTTTCCCGCGCGCGGCCGGAATTGTTTCGTTAGCGGCGTCGGCCAAAGTTCCAGCCGGCGGCTACGCTATTTCATTTTCGAATTTGCTCCACCGTGATAATGGAACTCTTTACTGTAATACGGCCAAAGCCCGGGACACGTGCGCGGCCGTACACGATGACCGCAAAATATCTCGCGAACAAAGAGAGAGAGAGAAAGAGGGTCCTTTTATTTATTCCCAAACTATTCCGTGAGCGGAATTAATCCTGCTTTTGCGCGAATTAAGAGAAATATTCGATTAAATATATACTGCAAATATATGCCGTGTCTAAAAAAATATTCCGAAACTTTCTACCCCGTCTTGTCACGTTTGACAGATCCCGCGCTTAAGGCGGGGTCGAGAATTAATGAAGCGTGAAAATAGCTTTATCTCTTTTTATCAGAGATTAATTATTATCACTCGCGTAGAGGAGGAAGAGGGGAGGCTGTTAATCTAATATTTATGACTGAATAAACGAGAGCGTAAAATGTGTGGATGTGTTGCGCTTTACACAGGGTTGTTTCCACTTCTTCCGGTCTCGCAGAAGGATAAACAATTACGAAAGAGACAAACGCGAAATCGCCACGAGCGCGGTCGTTTCGCCAAGTTAATATTTCAGGGAAATTTCTCTTCCAGCGTCGCGTCGAGTCCCTCGCTTTTCGCGTCCGGCTCCGGTCGGGGCGGTTTATAATTGCCATTAAATCTCGATTAAACGAAACGTCGCGAGGGAGAGAAGGCAGAGCCCGGCCGCAATTTCGCGAGTTTTAATCTCGCATAACGTACGTCGAATTCGCGTAACTCGTCGTCGTGCCACGTATATTTCATTACGCGTATGATGCGAAACAAAGGATCGGGCCTGCGGCGATGTTATTTAATTTTCGAATCTGAAATGCGCGGAAGCGAAGAGGAGAAAGCTCTCTCTTTCTCTCGCGCGACAAAGCTTCCCATGATGTTTCAAACGAACGAAAAAAAGAACAACTGCTTTTCATTCCACAAAATTATAAAATACGCGCGCTTTTTCTTCCTGCCCGACGATAACGTTTATCTCGCGATTGAAATGCACAAATTTTCATTTAATAATTTCTCGTTACAATCTCAAGAGAATACTATATAATACTGCAGCAAAGCGGCGATGATTTACTTTTCGTACCATTCGACAAATCATTTCGCATCGTTCGAGGAAAGTTAAAAATTCAGAAAAAAATATTTCTCGTTTCGCGCAAATTATGCATTATTAAGCATATAAGGGAAAATATTCGAGAGACCCGTGACGTATATATATATCTATACATATATGTAAAATCGCGACCTCTCCAAACGCACCCTGCACTTTCGTCAGGATTTCCCGAATGCGTTCTCGTCTCATTTGAATACGCCAACAATGTGATCCTTTCGCAGCCCGAAATTTGCCACACAGTGATTCTCTGCTGTGCGACTCTCCGTTCAACTCCTCCGGGAGATCCGAGAGAGCACGTGCGTATGCTCAGCCACGCGGAGACTTGACGTTACGACTCGCGCGTCGCATTTGTCACGCACACCGATGCACAAATCGCGCACACGGAATGACGATGCTTCTCTTCGCGCTGTAGGCATGAATTCGTAACACGCTCGCCGGCTGCATGCCGAGGTCTCTCTTCTATATGTCGTACACAACGGGTGTGCAACGAGAAATTGCGTTTTACGTTACTCGAGCCGATAATTTGGTTGCACGACTAAAAATCCAAATACTTTAAGATGCTTTAGAAATTTTTTAGGGAGATCTGTCGTTCATAAATCATCGATGACATTCGGATTTTTAAAATGATGGAAGAATTAAAAAATATTATTGAAGCACGTATAAAATAATTCGGAAACATTTTGACATAGTTCTAATATAAAAAATTATATAACAATTAAAAAAATAAAACAATGTAAAAATGTTGGATCAGCTGATATTAGTGTTTCGTTGCTTTAGTTTTATTGCTGAATATTGCGCAATATTGTTGAATTAGAAGAGTATCGAGTATGACGACTTTGATTGCACCACTAAAAATCGAAATACTTTAAGGTGCTTTAGAAGAGTTTTTTTTAGAGAGATCTGTCGTTCATAAATCATCGATGACATTCAGATTTTTAAAATAGTGGAAAAACTAAAAAATAGTATTGAAGCACGTATAAAGTAATTCGGAAACACTTTGACATAGTTCTAATATAAAAAATTATATAAAAATAAAAAAATAAAACAATGTAAAAATATTGGATCAGCTGATATTGGTGTTTCGATGCTTTAGTTCATAAATCATCGATGACATTCGGATTTTTAAAATGATGGAAGAATTAAAAAATATTATTGAAGCACGTATAAAGTAATTCGGAAACACTTTGACATAGTTCTAATATAAAAAATTATATAAAAATAAAATAAAAATATTGGATCAGCTGATATTAGTGTTTCGATGCTTTAGTTTTATTGCTGAATATTGCGCAATATTGCTGAATTAGAGGAATATCGAGATCTATCACACGTCGAAATGCCCTCTCAACTGCCTTATGTAATAATCTGGTTTGCGGGTATTTCGAGAACACCCTTTGGGGAACGATTCCGAAAGTACTAACGGCGGAAGAGAGGCTAGGATGCACTTCAGGCATGCTGAAGTACTAAAGTGCCGTGGCGTGTCTGCCTCGGAAGAGCGAGATCTATAACCCGCGAAAGTGCCACGGCTTTTCTCTCTCTCTCTCTCTCTCTCTACTCTCGACACGTCGATTCTAGGACAACGACGAATGTATACTGAACGCTGTACTTACTGTTCTTTGTGAAGGTGACAATCTTGAGAACTTTGCCGAAGCGCGTGAAAATCTGCAACACACAAAATAAGTTCTGGGTGAGAAGGTTTGATCAGTTTGATATTTATTAGATTTGATGGTTCAGCGGATGATTTTTAATCTATCATATCCCTCGTTACATCGATGTGTCAAGTATGGAAAAAAATGTGCAGCGAAACGAATTATAAATAAATCCTACCTCTCGCGCAAAATTGTGATTACGATGGGCCGTTTATAACGATATACTGCGAAACTCGCGACGACACTCCGACGATGTCGACGTATATTGCGACAGATGCTTTGACAGGACCGCACGTAATAAACGTCTAACTAAAGCTACAATTGTCATAATCGTATATATCGCTGCGCGAGAGCGCGTTTAGAGCGAGAGAGCGATCAAAATTACAGAAATTCGACGAACCGACGCTATTTCGGCGAAATTGCAAAATAATTGGCGCGGATATTACGGACAAAGCGATTTATTTCGGCCGCGCATGGAGAGATTATAATGCGGCAATTATCCCCCTCTGCGAAAATGATCCGACGAAATTTCCGAGTAAAACGGCACGTAATAATTACGATGACCGGAAACGCACGGGCGTGTCCTAAAAATTTGATTCGCGAGCGAGGAAGGAGAGGGCTATTCGGCGAATAAGGGGAACCACCCCGAATCGCATGAATTTTCAAAAGCCCACTTTGGCCGAACGGGTGTATAGTGGCCCGGTATCACGCAATATTTACAGGCGTATCCGCGGACGTGGGCGACCGAGCCCGCGGGCTAATAATCGCGCACGGCCCAACGTCAAACCGCCGTCATTGTCATATATGTTTGGCCGACAATGCCGATGATCACATTAATGCCGCGTATGCAAATATTTGACCCGGTTGCGCGCCGCGCCACCGTTCGCGGTCAATTGCGAGAGGGTCTATATATATATATATATATATATATGTGTGTGTGTGTGTACGGTCTGGCGAACGATAGCCGTAGCAATCATTTTTTCATCCGTCCAATGACGGAGCCGCGACGACGTGGAATCGTTCTTTATTTAAAGATCGATACGCGTTACACGTATTTAATCGTCGTCTCGCGGCTCATCGGGAGCTAACCGGCAATGACATTGATTTTTCAAGCGCTCGAAACAGAGAGGCCATTTTTTACGCGCGAGATCGCATACCCAAAAGAGCGCATACATCCGTTTTCCCCGACGAGTAAATACGTAAAAAGCTCGTAAAAGCGTGACCGCGAGAGGAGAAACGAAACATTTCCGATGCGAACCGGGAAAAACGCGCTAATGCGAACCGCTGTCACGCGTTTTAGCCCCCTCCCTCTCTCCCCCTTCGTCCACGAATATTCAATATTGCACACAACCTGCGGGCGTATCGAATGACGAGTTTATATTTCGTCGCGCGGTAACGCAGCGATCAAAATAATCCGTAAAATTAAAAGCGAAAAATCACGTCGGACGCATTACGAGAAAATAAGGGTGGGAAAAAGGGGTCGCGAGGTACACGGAATAAAGTACGGAATATAAAGTGCGTATCGATGCGTTTCTCGTGAGACTTTCATTCTACCTTCGTTTCAAAGTCCGCCACTTCTCCTTTGACGCGAGTCTCCTCTCTTTGGTGTCTCTCGACACATAAACCTACATAATTTCCGCGACTTTTGAAATATATTCTTCGCAAATATTTTTTATAAAAAAAAAAAAAAAAAAAAAAAAACGACACGATCCACTGACGCTTTCATCCCGACTTTTACAAGTCGAGTGCGTTCTTACATTTTAATTCGTTTCGAGAAGGCGAAAAAAAATCGTATAAGAGAGAAAATAATATGCGAGCGCAAAACTGGCGAATTAATTCTCCCTTACACATTTCTTGAGTAAAACGAAAAATTGCGTGACAAGAAATGGAAATCTACGTTTGGAAAATATTACTCGACAAGCGTGAGATAATATAGAGAATGCGACTCGGAAGAATGGGAAACACGCGTCGCGAGGTTTTGCGCAACGTTTTGTAATTAGCGAACTCCGGGGAACGAGAGAAAAGACGTGTCCCGCGTGATGCACGCGTGTCAAGTGGACAAAAGAAACTTTTGCAAGTTTCAACCGGGACGAGGCTGCGACGCCTTTTCCTTCGATAATAATGCAGTGCCCATCCTGCGGCATTTCTGCACCGATATAGTTGAAAGAGGTCGATTAAAATAATTTATTCACTAAATATAGAAACCTTTAAGATGATTTTTCATCCAGATTGGTTTTTTATGGAATATCGGACTGTAATTGAAATTTGTATTTCTAGAATTAAATATAATAATTATATGATTCTTTTTCGTCATATTTAATATCTCACTATTGTCAAATCGAAAATTTGCATTCGAGTTTCTTCGTGTAATCGATGCATTTCATAATTTTTTCCCTCGTTCCAGCTAATGATAATGATCAGCTCTTTCCTAATAAAGAGCGAGCAAATTTCCCAGCGAGATTTACAAAAATTGTTTCGAATGCGCGAGGTCGTATTAGCGGAGACAAATGTAATTTTCCCGAAAAACGAACGACGATTATAATCATTACAGTAAAACGGGGGCACCAATAACGATAAAAATCTGTGCAAATAGATTCTCATTGTCGTTTACATTTACGTATCTCGTTGCTCGCAACGAGATTCATTTTTACGGTAATTGCGCGTTCGGTTTGCGAGCTCGTGGATTAGCAATTATATATGTAAATGTATCGATGCATCTGTAAGATGTATCTTTCATTTATAATTTTTTAAAAATACGATCACATAAAATATACGCGAATAAGAGCACGTGTAAGAATATTTTCGAATAAACAAGAAGATATTTAATTTCCACACTACATAGGATATTACGTCATGTTACAAGAGTCGAGCGGTATATTATCTTGTGCATACTGCATTACATTAAATAGAAAAATCTCGAGTTATCGAGAAGCTCCGAGAGCTGGATAAATTAAAGATCGAGTAAATGAAAAAAAGTAGAGATGGATCGTTCGCGAGAGCCGGATGCTGAATTCCGAGGATCGCGAAAGTGGAGAGGTGATAACGATGATAATGTTTAGAATATATGGATTACGGTTCCATCCATTACATCCGTACGTCCGCAGCGTCCATTACAAGCCGCAAGACCGGTCGTAATAGTCGCTCGACTATGTGCATTTCCTCCCCCTCTTTCTCGATGCAACTGCAACTGCAACTGCGGGCGTTTCGCTGCAAGCGTGCACTCTATTTATACAATATATATATATATATATATATATGTAATACGAAAAGCAGCAGTACCATCATCATCATCATCATCATCATCATCATCATATCACATCGTCAGGCCATACGCATGTTTTCATCCGTTTTCCGATAAAACGGGAAATATTTCAATTTTGATATTCGAATTTTTGCCAATCGCGCTTCCGGTCCGGGGAATGCATAATGCATGCATCCGACCGAAAACAGTTCGATCGCGAACGGATATGAAGTCGCGATGATATGCGCGTTCGTGAGTAGTATTTACTCGAGATTGCGCCAATAAACGGCCGAATCGACGAATAATCGCGAGAAATATCACGAGAAAAGATATAAAGCTCGCACGCGGTTCCCATTTTTTGTTTGAATTTTTAGAGTTACGCATCACTCTTTTCAATACAAAATCTTATATAAAAAAAAATGTATAAACTCGAAAAATATATACCTATTCGGCTATAGTTGAAACGTTAGTTCCATCATTCGTTCGATTATGACTTTTTCGCGAATAATTCACTTTACGTTAATGTGGAACGCGTAAATGCGCCCCGATAACAGATTGATGCCATATAAACGCAAAACCGAGGAGAGGGAAAAGCCCCGCCTTTCGTGGCATTTATATACGCGCGTCCATTACAAACATACTGTACAATAAAATTAATTAAACCGGTATTTAATTAATTACTCGAAATCTGACAAATTTTCCGCTTCCTGCCCATCGCGCTGCAAATTGTCTCTGTGAATTTAGGGAGAAATTCGAGAATTACCCCGTAGGCGGTAACGTTTATTATCGATGCAATTGATGCATTCCGTGATTGCCGTCGAATACACACGCAAACTTCTCTGTTCATATTATTGCGCCAGTATATTCCCTTTCTCTTCCCCTGTTCCATTATTAGCGTTTGCCCCTTCCATACTGTTGTTAGAGATTAGGGAAATATACTCGGTGGCCATAATTACTTTACGATATATACATCATACCGACTGAAATTACGTTCGGTGGCTGTTTCATATCAAAATAATTCTCATTAAATAGGATCGATCGTTACGCATATCCCGATCGACAAAGTATTTAGATTGGCATTTGACAAATATGGGAGTTCCGTCTCGTTATTTTCAATCTAGAGCTTTATTTTGAATTTATTCGGCTTTATTTTGAAAAGGAAATATTTTTCTCCCCCGATACAAAAGTATATATATATATATATATATATATATATATATATATATATATATATATCGTCGGCATATATCGACATCGAGAAAATAATCGATAATATTGGATGTTCCAATACCTTGCAACTTTGTAACGAATAGATTAAAGCAATCCGCTTTCACGCCCCAGCGGATAAACAGAGGCGAAATACACGTCGCTCGCCCAAAATGTAAATAAAATCGTGGAAAATCGGGAAATCCGAAAATAAGTCGGCACCTCGGTGAAAAGAAAATCCCGATGATTCAAGTTCTATGCGTCTCGGATTGAAACTGGGACGACGAATCGGCTTGTTTGCGCGTGCATCATTTGCGACGAAAGTTTTAATGAGGGTCGAATGAGAGAGATGCATGCTGGGTGTAACGTAGTTTCTTTGCTGCTGTGGGGCATTTGTAAGAGTAAGATAGTCGGGAAACCCGGTTAAATGCTAGAAATAATATAAAGAATATATATATATATATATATATATATATAGAGAGAGAGAGAGAGCTGGAGAATAAAATCACAAGCAGAAAAAGCATAGCTTTATTTTAGACACCACAGGTCAGCTTCTGATGTATCGC